AATTTTTACAACAAAAAAAATTGAACAACATAACTTTCATGCTGGTTAACTGCCAGTATCGGTAGATGTACCTATTTATCTCTTTCTTAGTTTACGAAATCACATTATAATTTATAATCAGTACAGTACGTAGTAGGTACCGCGACCCTTTTATTGATTCTAAATTCCGTTTCATGACCGTCACTGAAAAACGCTACACAATTAAAATACTTATATTAACCGTTGTTGGTTGGTGATAACGCCACCAATTTCAATACAGGTCAGTTAGGTTGATAGTTTTGCTACAAAAAAGCATAGCATAGCGTACCTACATATATTTTTTTGAATAGATCATTCGGTATTCGTCTGTTGTTGTATTAGTTAGGGACCCCAACTGGTAAGCCAATTTATTCACAAACGCTATTGCGTCAATATTGTGTCGATGCGGTTGGCATTTTGTGATTTGCCTTGACAAACATCACGACACATTGCCTATTTTAGATTTAAATGTAACGTAATTGAGTCTATTTTCCTCTAAAAAAGGGTTATTTCAAGCGCTAAATGCCTACGAAAGTAAGATAGAGTCCATATTTTCTAATTAAAGTACCTATAGGGCCTTATCATTAGTGTCATTCTCCAAAACTATTTAAGGTTAACGACCCGACAGGGAAGCTAGCAAGAGATAAATTTTATAGTGTCATGTACCGACCTAGTAAATCTGACCGTAGAGACGAAGCGTAAAAGCCTGTGACAGATACTTAAGCTGAAAATAAAATTGAATCAACAAAGGATGTTGTAACTTCGTGTAGTAGGTCCAAGAATAATAGCGGTAGTAAAAATGTAAATAATAGCGTGGGCAAGTAAAAGCCGCGAGGATTAATTGTATATTCGGCCTGAGTTGAGGGAGCTAGCCGTTTTTCTTTCGCCATTTTTATTTTGTGGTGCTACAACATAGAAAGACATATTGTAATGACCTTCACTTATTAAGGTTTTCATTCGACTCGACTGTGTTGGTCGAGTGACCCTAAGTTCAAAATCAAACAAGATGTCTCGGGTTCGATTCCCGAGTCGAGAGTATTATATTATGATTTTTTTCTTACTAAATTGTCAGTAATAACGCAGAGTCTAGAATTTTGTATAGTAATAGGTTCACGCCCTATTACATGGTATTCATAACTTAATTGTTAATAAGTGTTATACTGAAAGTAACCACCTCAGTCCATTTCAATCGTAACTTGTTTTTATCTGAACAAGTCAGTATCTTCTACTCAGTAGTTCTAGTCCCGGTAGGTACTAGGTACACTATTATAGTTTTTAAAGAAAAATTCCAGTCATGTACCTATACGCCGGTATGTACTTTTATTTTCAAGTACGTTACACCAACGTGACAATGACGTCACGTCTGCTACAGTAAACACTTCCAAAATAACAAGTCACTAGGTATTCAACTTAATTGTAATTTCTAATTTAATTAATGAAAACAACTTCCTTAGTTTATTAATAAATTCATGTTCTCACTGATAAAGTGTTTTTTATTTATTTATTTAAAATATTATTCATTCCGGTTAGGTTATAAAATCTTTAAATTCCGACATGATGTTCTGGATACAAAGAGATATTTTGACCTCATTTAGTTATTCTCCGAATGTCTCTAGAGTTGACAAAGTGTTTAATTACAGTCATATAGTATAAAAACGAATTCATTGAGAAAATGATTCTACTATGGAGCGAATCTGTTCTGAGGCCACTACGCGTTCGGAGCTCTGAGGCCTTAGTATGAGTTTGATTTACGTTTAAAGTATTCGAAACGAGTACGCGTTTGGCACTCTGATTGGCCGGCGCCAATGAAGCAACCAATCACAGCGCCGAACGCGTACTCGTTACGATTACTTTAAACGTAAGACAAACTCGTACTAAGGCCTCTGATTGGTTGTTTCATTCGAGCCGGCCAATCAGAGCGCAGAACGCATACTCGTTTCGAATACTTTAAACGTAAATCAAACTCGTACTAAGGCCACAGAACGAGAGAGAATTTCAAAATTTATGAAGCACTGTACTCAACTTGAATATCAAATCCATCATCCAGGTTTGGTCGACGCAAAAATACATTTAAGGAACTGTCACGGGTATAATTTAAAAATCAGACTTCTGATGTAACGCAACCTTCAACAGTTATAAAAGTTAGCAGCAAGAAACGAAAAACCACCTCTATGACTTGTGGGTAAAGGTGCATTTTTGAAAAAAGGTCAAGGCAAGGGCAACACTGAGTGCAACAGTAAAAAGTCAGTATTGTAGTAAAATGGTAGAGTTATAGTAGAAGACACCACCATAGTCTTTGAAACTAACACGCGAATTTGTACCTTGTGCCTTTGTTTGTAAATCGTTTTTGTAATTTTGGCAGAAAGCATCATAACCAAATAGATTACGAATGACTTTATTGACTACGATATCTAAACACAAAGTAGTGCAATTGGTTTTTTGACTTTTGAAACTGTCAATTTTTGTAATTGTGTCTAGTCCTCCAGACTCCGTGCTACTACTGAGAATTTATAAAACAAATCCAGTAATACTTTGCCCGACCAAGAAATCGAAACCGAGACCCCCTTGCTTGTAAGTCGCACTTGCGACCACTTGGCTAACGAGGCAGGCAATTTATAAAGGACTCAGGCATAAATAGCGATAAGTGCCCATTGCACACGTAATGATAAGTCCCCATTTAATATGTGCAAAGATATGTATAATACTTGCTCCTTCGTAGAATATAAGGTGTAAGGTTATGTTAGTTACTACTATAAAGTTCAACTTAAATACAGGAAACTAACACTTTGCTTGTAGAACGTCGATTTTTACCTCGATATTCATAGCAATATCAACAGTACAGGTAATCGATAATAAGTGACCTACAGTTGAACTATGTAAATCAATCGTGTTACCGTAAATACGTCGTAATAATAATAAACGTTATTTAAATCTTAATTAAATGTTTGAATTATAATGAGACCAAACTTCAATGGCTAACTTAGAAGTTCAATAGACTGCGATGTGGTAAATTTTTATAAACGAGTTCAAAGAGTTCACGTAAACTTAATTAGAAATACCTGCATGTTTAGGAAACGTGATAGATTAAAGTCGTCCTATTTTTAGTTAAATCTTAAGCATCTAAGTAATATTAATCAATCGAACATCGATCGCAGACAAAGGATCAGCGTCGAAAAGGGGGGATATTTTAGCGATTCTTAGCAGTCGACCGCAGAATCGATCGCTGAAACATACAACTGAAAGAATTTATGGACAGAACTGCTGTTACAAAATTAATTTCATTTTAGAAAACGTTTCCTGTGCTGACTAAACATATAATCACTTATCGAGTCCGGTTTTGGCGTAATGATATGGACTTTCTTAATATCAAAGTATAGACTGAAATAAAAGGACATGTTTCACGTTTCATACTATATATTTTTTCACATGTGGGGCGTAAAACAATATATAAGAATATTTGATTTTTTGGAATCGGAATATTTCATTTTGTGGATAGTCACAAATGTTCTAATCAACAAATACATAACATAACATCAAGGCTTTTTATCCCCGAAGGGGAAGGCCCATTACGGCACTTAATGCCACTGTACAATGTAACACCCACTTGTCACTATTTATGTTTATGAGTCCCATGTAATAGCGGGTGAGCCTATTGCCATACACCGGGCAGAATTCCAGACTCCGTGCTACTACTGAGATTTTTTTTAAACCCAGCAATACTTTGCCCGACTCGGTAATCCAACCCGAGACCCCTTGCCCGGCAGTCGCATTGCAACCTTTCGGCCATCGAGGCAGTCATAAACAAATAGATGACGTCTTATAGTGACTTCAACTACAATAAATGCATACGACGACGTGGGTTTGCAAGTGTAGTCACAGATTACACGTTGTAAAATATGAATAAATATTTTATTACCAGCAGCTCGGCCTGGCCTTGCAAGGGTGCTGTTTCCCGACCGTCCCAGTGTATACACTAGTTCCTTTCAGATAAAACTTGGACAAAATCACAACAGTGACTACACAAAAGGAATGGACAAAGTCGGAGTTATTCGAAGGTTATACGCATAAAAACAGCCATTTATTAATGCAGATTAAAACTATTGTTCTAATTAAAATAGTTGTATGTTTTCAGTGGGCACGGTCCGTAATGGGAATTTAAGAAGACACGACTATTGACTATAAAGGTTGCGGTAAGGCATAATATAGAGGTTCCGATGTACAATATTTTGGGTTATCTATAACTTTATTTGTATTTCATTTATTTCTTTACTTTGTTTCTATGCACAGAGAGCATGGCAGAGTATGAAGATACAAATACCTATTAAATGTGCAAGACACACATACCTACTTACCTACTTATTTAATTTCTATCACTACAATATGAGAGAGATGCTCTGCAAAGGTGTCGTGATGAAATATAATTCTGAACTAGGTAAAGCGTATTACCTCTATAATTCCAATTATTCTTTGATGCTAAGAGTACATTATTATTGAATTCTAATATCTTAAAGTCAATGAAACTGACACGTGTACTTATTCATAATTGTCAACTTGTTGTTCAATATGTATAGTGTTTGTAGTAGATTTACTGGTTATTCTAATAAAGCTTACATTTATGCATAATGTGTATAGTAATGATAGTAATCTCGTCTGCAATATCTTCAAGGAAAACAACTACATAGACTGCTCTTATTTACACGGCCAATATGAGATAGGGGGATTCATTAGGACAATCTGATATTGAAATCTATATTGTTAGCAGAACCTACATTTTACTTTGATTCTTATTATAGAACATGCGACTCTATTAGTTAAATTACAAAACGTGGAGCTTAGTTTAAAACCTTCAAGTTTGTCTATTACTGTCCGTATAATTTCAAAAATAATTTAATCAGAACGAACTCGTTACTATTATTGTCGTATTCAAATTGTATTCTTACTAAAAATCTCGAAGGTTGCGATCATATGTTACGATAGTCAATCAATAGTCAATAATAATAATGTAATGGCCTTTTTCGCCACTACTACTTTAGACAGTTGCTCCTGAAAAAAACTAAATTAAATGTCGGCGTGTCATGAGATCGATAAATTCATAAGTATAACATTGTCAAATAAATTAGGGATCAATAAAATATAATGAATCATAAACAGCGGAGAAAAATAAAGTCTCCGCCTTATAGGAAGAGGCGGCAGATGCCAACTTTGGATACTCTAATGCCAACAGAATCTGTGCTTGCAAACTTGCAGCCCGTCAAAGAGGAAACAAAGGCTGACCTCGTTGCGGACAGTCCAGAATGTGAATCAAACGATGCATTCAAATCTGAGGTGGAAAGGTTCATAGAAATATCAAAATACTTCTCTAGTCCTCTTCGGAAAACTGCGTCGTACATCTGTGAGAATCGCCTCGTGTCCTACCCAAGTCTGTTCAGATTGGAGTTCAAGAGAGGAGTTATAAATACGGAGCACATTAAGTTTTGCAATATCACCCTAGAGCCGGTGTACATTAAGCTGTTCAAGGTGATCCCGGACTTGGAACAAATCAGGTTCACGAACCTGTCTTTATCTCGATGTAAAAGGATTCCTCCGGGGTTGTCGTTCAACTTAACGTTTTTGTATGACGATGTTAATGAAAAGCCGGCTTGTAATGCGAAAATGATATTTGTTGCTTCTAGGAAAACGTCAACCCCATGCTATCAAGTATGCGAAATTGAGCTGGATATTAGTGCACAAAAAACTCGCCTGCTTACTTTATAATCAAGGTAATGCGTGTATAACGGTAATTTGGAATTCTAATTCTGTCAAAATGTATCCACTGTTTTAATTCGCCTAACTGGTTTTTGGGTCTTTTCAAACATCTGTAAATAAATGGTCTTTTATTAAAATCAATATATTCTGATCTATTCTTATAATTTCCTGATAATATCGTCGAAGTAATAATTACATTTTTATATACCAATGTCAAGAATCAATTGACGATATTTTGTATTTCTTAGCATTTTCAAAAAGTTCTGAAACTTTTTATTTTATATTCAGCTAAGAATTACTTTAATTCTAGCAATATACAAAAGCTTTGCAAAAGGTAATCAGAATATGATGTTAATACATTCTCATTCCCATTAACCTATACGTACACACTAAAGCCTATTTTTAATTACAACGATATAAATCTAAACGTCAGCATAATAAGGTCAAAAAGTTGTTCCACAAACAAATTGATTACAATTTATTTAATATGAAATACAAAAACAAAACGTGTAAAAAACTGATATTTAAAAAAAATAACGAAATCACTTTCAAGTGTATGTAAAAACGGTGTTTAACTAACCCTGACCTTAAATGAGCACACAATTAATAAAAATTCTCACTTGACAATATACATCTACAGTAATTATATGAAATATTGCCAGTAATAAGAGAAGAATAATAAAAAAGTTACCAACATGAGTTTTTTTAAATATGTTGAAGGCCATTCATTGTGCTGAAACTTGAGTTTCTAAAATTAGTAACTAGGTATCTAATTTTCTTTTCAACTTTCCATTTCTACAGAACTTCAATAATGGTTGCTATCTGTTGCTGAATCTATGTTTAGAGGACACAGGAAACTAACCCAAGTTTTGAGTCAATTTAGACCTGTATGGCTGTCGTTATAATCCCATTAGGGACCGTAGCCTACATCCCAACTGGTGTTCTGTTGGGTTTGACCCATCACATGGGGTTTATTGGAACAAAATGCAGTCCTGTTTTACTTAGTTCGTCTTTATAGATGCAAAGTCTATTTTTCTAAAAGTAAAAAGAAAATGTTTTTCTGAATTTCATTTCCGGAAGTAGCTAGGACTACTCCACTTAGTACCTCTATTATTTTTTCATTTGTCTAATTACACATTTGCACCCATGTTATTTATATCTTCAAAATAATTTATTGGTGTGTTTACGTATGTAAGTATATTCTGTTCCAAAACAACAGTCTACTCACTCGCACAATCAAAATATTATAAAATACGTAACACTGACGTAGTTTCCAATCAATCTAAAATTAACAGGAAAAAATCATGTCTAGATTTATTTGCAAGTCATTGTTTTATAGGTAATAAACTAGTATCAAACATATACATAACTGTCTATGTATAGATATTCGTATATTCCAGGTCAAGGCTCTTCAAGGTTAAGTACTTGTGACAATTATTCATTATGTCCCCATAAAGGAACCTGGCCCATAATCAGGACAACGAAATTGGGAACCGAAGAAATAAAATCGTCATACAAAACCATAAAGGTAGTTAGGAAAGCAATTCTATTTGCATTGAGTGACTTTCAAATTCTTTCTCAAAGGCATATAATCAACATAATTATGTTAAAATGCAGACATGTTAACTAATAGATACCTACAGTACAGTATACACAAATATTTGAATATAAAGAAATAATAGAAATTACTTTTTGTATTTTTTGGGTGCGTCCACATCTAGCGAATGTGCGCGCGTGCAGTCACGGCAATAGTTTAATGCGTCTATTTATTCATGCAAGCTTCGGATAAATAATAATTTTATTTAAATGCACGAACGCAGCTCGCAGTCTGCACATTCGCGAAAAAATTGCCAGACGTGGACACATCCTTAAATACCGACAGACGATACCTATCGTATCTATTTATAAAGCCACAGAGTTGGCCCACATGTGTAATATACATTAAGACTCATTTAAAATTGTTATTAATGGCATGCAAGAATCCACATGCCTATTAATATTATCAATTATCTGCTACTAAAACAAACTATAGGAACTGAATTACATATAGTAAGAGAGAAATTAAATATTTTTGACCACAATGTTGCCCGTTAACATTACTAATGAGTTGACTGAGATAATCAACACTTGTAATTAGCCCTACATATAATATTTTAGAGATTAAATCACAATGGCTTTCAATAAATTTTATTACAAAACAAACGACAAAAAATTTGCAGTACAAAAAAACCTAGATCAAAAATAAATGAATGGAACATTCTGCCTTATTTACTCGACGCATGTATGGAAGATATTTCTGATTGACGTCATTGAGTGACCAGAAGACTGGCTCATGTACAAATTAGTGTCATTATGCATTATGTAATCTAAATTATATAGTAATTTCATAAATTAGAGTGCTGAGCTTCCATGATTACCTTATTATTAATAAACACA